GAGTTTGCATATAACAACACCCTCCATGTATCGACTCAATATACACCATTCTTTTCCAACTATGGATATCATCCGAAGCTTGATTTATTGAGTCCGTCAACAAATAACAATCTAGCAGCTGAAGGATTTGCGAAGCAACTATCAAAGCTTCAAACTACATTGAAGCTTCAATTACAATCCGCTCAAAAATCCTACAGGGCGACTGCACATAGATTTTGGAATCAAGCACCTACTTTCAAAATTGAAGATAAAGCATGGCTTCTTCGACGGAATATCAAGACGAAGCGACTATGTGATAAGTTGGACTATTGAAGATTGGGACTATTTATCATCCAAAAGCAAATCAATCTAGTGGCGTATCGTCTGGAATTACCGGCTTCTATGAAGGTACATCGAATCTTTCATGTTTCTCTGTTGGAGCCTTATCAAGAGTCGTCTTTTCCTAGAAGAGTGCAATATCCGCCACCTAGTATTGAGATTGAGAACCACGAGGAATACGAGGTCAAAAAGGTACTGGATTCATGGCAAAGGTGGGGCAAGTTGGAGTATCTTGTTCATTGGTGCAACTACGACATTAATGAGCAAACGTGGGAGCCAGCTGAAAATCTCGCCAATGCGTCGCAAAAGGTACAGGAGTTTCATCAACAACATCCTCATAAACCTAAGCCGGTTCGACGATAGCTTCCTTCTGAAGCTTGCTCACCCCAGAATATAAGAAAGGGGGAGAGTACCACCAAAATTTGTAATTGATGTAGTTATTTTCTCCAAAATAAAGTAGAATTTTTTTAGTAGCCATAGTTTGGTCTTCTGATATGGATAGCCAAGAGATAGATATTATGCCAATCATATTATCTCAACTGACTAGCTCACGAAGGCGACCTTGAGATGAAGAACTACCTACACCACAACGACGACGGAGGATACCGAGTAACCGATCACTGGTGATTGTATTTGAGTTCGAGCCTGCTTATGATGGTCAGCCAGAAGGCGTGTTTGCAAGACAATTTCACAATGAGGACACAGAAGTTCATGCTTGGTCAGAAGTCGAAGGCGTGGGCCACTACCATTGGTTCAAGGGTTGATGAACCACTTGTCTCGTGAACACCAGTTGATATTCATTGCAAATGTTATGTAACAGATCTTCATTTTCTTACGTTGGTACTGATCTACAACAACATTGCTTCTCAGAGACCTCGAAGCTAAAGGAGGGGGTGATGTTAGGGACATAGTTCTTAGAACCTTATAGAAGCTTCCTAATTGGTAGAAGTTACTTGAGAAGTTTCCTAAATAGGAGTATATATTGGAATCGAGGCTGAAGAGTTCTTCAGTCTCGACAACACATCTCTAGGACCTCTAGCTCACCTCTTTGGTGTTGTTCTTGTATTCATCTGATTAATCTAGTTCTTGGCAGTTCTTCTTGAACTTCTTGTTAGATCTCGAGCCTGTATTTCTATGTCCGTGATAATTTCTGTGTCCGTGACAAGAATAGGAATGTGAAGGCTAAGCTAGTAGGAAAATGAGCCAGCTTGGATCCAATGTTGTCCAAAAAAGGCCTTAATGAGAATAAACTTAATAACAATGTAGGTCAATATACAAAGTAATACAAGAATAAGACAAAGCACTATAAGATAGTATAACTTGTTGTTAAGGAATTAGATAGTTATTTATTAAACTAAGAAATTCAACACATGATATTACTCAAAGAAAATCATTCAATTGAAAATTCTCATTTTTTAGAATTGGCTCAAATAAATTAGATTTATCTCTACCTAAAACATAAAACTATATTACAAATATTTGTTGGTACATGCTTACAAAAAAAATTGAAAAGTATATGAAATGATTTCTAAAATTGCGTTTACACCAAGTGATGTAAGATATAATGAGAAACTTATTTAATTTCATGCCTCCACTAATGAATGCTATATTCAAAAATATTATACTGGCATCTATTATTTTTATAGGTTGAAAAGATTGAAAACTAAATTTTAAGTCGTATCAATTACAAACATAATTTTAAATGAAAAATAAGGTCTTATCAAATCAATGAAACCAAAAAGCAACACATTTAAGGTTAGTTGTACTTTTGAAAATCTCAGGCATAAGATCGAAGAGCTTTTTATTTCAACAACAACAAACATTGTGATTGAAGTTGTAGTCATTGCCATATCAATAATTGTGTATATCACAAGAAATTAATTTGATTCTGTATCATCTACCACTTTTGAACCAACATGCATTTCATACTAATTCAAATTTATTGTACTTAGTATATATAATTAGATCCTAACAAAACTAGTTGAAGAAAATAAGATCATAGCAAATTGAGGCATTTTTTTCATACTAATTATTCTTATCAAACAAGATGCAAGAACATAATGGCTACATAGACATCAAAATCTTATAGTTTAAAGGTACATACTACTCCAAGTAAAGAACATCTAAACCAATAATCATGAAATAAAATAAAATGCTTATAAAGCAACTACTTGTAATCAAATTATTTAATAATAATAATAATAATATTATTATTATTATATTAAATAAATAATAATATTATTGTTGTTATATTAAATAAATAATAATATTATTATTATTATATTAAATAAATAATAATATTATTGTTGTTATATTAAATAAATAATAATATTATTATTATTATATTAAATAAATATTATTATTATTATTATTATATTAAATAAATATTATTATTATTATTATTATTATATTAAATAAATAATATTATTATTATATTAAATAAATAATATTATTATTATATTAAATAAATAATAATATTATTATATTAAATAAATAATAATATTATTATATTAAATAAATAATAATATTATTATATTAAATAAATAATAATATTATTATATTAAATAAATAATAATATTATTATATTAAATAAATAATAATATTATTATATTAAATAAATAATATTATAGTATTATAATTATATTTAATGTTATAATGTTAGATTTTTATATTACAAATTATGCATGTAATTATCTTATGTGACCATCAATATAAAAAAATATAATATCTTTGTTATTAATAATAAAATAATTATATTACATTATGTCTTATATTATATAATTTTTATTATCTATATTAATGTATTATTTTTTTTACGCAACCTTATTAATGGTACTACATATTGCATATATATGAAAATGTGCATAAAATAATATGCTATAAGATACAATATATGTATAAAAATGTAAGCTATATAATTAATAAAAAGATAAAATAACATATTTAAAGATATATAATATTATGTATATTTGAGGTTTATTATTTCTATAAATCATCAAATTATGAAACATTTGGAAGATATATTTTAAATTTTTAAGTATATGTTTTACTATATATATTAAAATATTATCAAATCTTATAAAGTTTTAAGGTTGTATTGTATATTTCTATTTGTAAATTTACAAAAATATTTATATTTTTTTTAGAGATAAAATATTTTTAAAAAAATTAGATATTTGTACGCAAGTTTTTAGAAGTACTTTATATTGAGATATATCACATCTTAGATTTCAAATTGTTAGAATTCAATACATTAGTTCTAAAAAGCTCAAAATACTATTTTTTTTTTTTTTTTTTTTTTTTTTTTTAAGTTCCACTATTGTACAATCTATTATACTATTTTTAATTTACTCATAAAAGTTTTGAGTCTTATAAAGGTTACTTTTAAAATATATATTATATAATTTTGTTTATTTTTCAAGCCTTGACTAATAATACATTTTACAAATCTTCTATTGTAATAACATTAAATTTAAGATTGGAGTCTTATCTCTTTTCTATAAAGTATTTATATTATATTAATTAAAAATAGAGTTTAGGTAAAAAAATAAAAATTTATATTTTATTATTTTTTGCTTCTTGAATTTATTTAAAAAAATACTAACACCCTCATTAAAACATTTCTAAAAGAGTTCTTTAAGTACTACATCCTTAATCAAAGAAATGAATAAGAAGAATTTTGTGCTTAATAAGATAACAATCCTCTAAAAAATGTTCTTTACTTTTGAAAAAAATTATATTATTGATAATGGAAATTTTATTATCTTTAATTAACAAAAAAACCAAATAAAATTAAAAGTTGTTCTTTAAAATAGATATAGAATTTATTAGTTTTATAATAGTTATTTACAATATTACACTATAATATTGTATAATTTATTAGATTGTTTGAGATTCATATTATTCTACTTACTAAATTTAAGATAATTAATACCTTCCTTGTCAAATATCAGATTAAGATTTTGAGTATTCCTACTCTTGTTAAAAATAAGTTATTTAAAGAGATTTTGAATAATCTAATTATTTTAAGATCTTTCATTGAAAACATAGATTTTTAAAACAATGAAAAAAAATTATCTTAATTTGAATATCTTTGAAGAAGAAACTTCATTCACTTATTAACTCAATATTTAGAGTTTTAATGTTATTTGGCTTGTATAGACTACAATCTTCAATTTAGTAGTAAATAACTTCATAGGATCCATTTCTCATGATATTTTACAAATGAGCTATATGTAAACACTTAAAAATATCAATAAACATATATTAAGGGATGTTTTTTCTACTCAATTACATAGACATTATTGCAATAAAAATAAAAAAAAAAAAAAAAACATATCAAAGAATAAGTAAAAATATTAATAGCAAAAAACATCTACATGTATAGTTTTATTAAAAAAATGTATACCAATTTGGTAAACATCAATGCCCTAATAGAACTAGATCATGATCGTAGGCACCTCCACCACTTCTCACAAATAAAATATGCAAATTCTTTCCCATTGACAAATACTTGCATGAAGTGGTAATGGGTGCGTCGACCCAAAATGCGACTGGCAGCCCGATCGTTCCAACATACCGTGGGCTTTCAATATCGGTCTTAGGATGTCTTCTTTTCCCCGGTCACAGGGGTGACAGCTACGTAAAGGTCCTTTGACCGGAGGGACAACGTCGGGACAGAAGGCGAGGGGGAAGGGAGGGGGGGTGTGTAGTGTTGTGCAGGGAATCGGCTGGCCATGGCGCGGTTCCCTCCTCCTCCTCGTGAGTTGCTTCCTCTCGGCGCAGCTCAATCTTCCAGCCCCATTCTCCTCAAAATTTAGTGAAAGCCGATCGATTTTGACTGAATCAACATTTCATGAAATGAGTTTTCGAGAGGGTTGTTCGCTGCTGCCCTGAGTTGTTTTGGACTGCTCGTGTTTGATGATTCATTGAGTCATTCTGCTCGTTCTGTCAAGGGGAGAGGGTGTGGCGATTTGAGTTCCCCGGAGTTTAGAGTTGGTTCATAATCCAGGAAAGTCATTCGAGCTCAGCTACTGAGTGATTTTTGGCGGACTCTGGTGGTAGCCGTCCGAAATCGTTTGGAACTTTTGTATGATTAGATTCTCGGTGACGGTTGAAAATTGTGCTGTGCTTGGAGGTTTTGCAGGAGGATTGAAATAGTTCGCGACGACATTGGGGTTAGTTTACCTGTTTTCGATTGATCAATCGGTGGCCTTTGTGCATCAGTTCTTGAAAGGGTGTGCTAGCTAAGATTGTACTGATAAGCGAGCGATATCGTTTGCCGGCCCAGTCCTTACCTGCCCATGAATTCTCGGCCTCAGGCAACCGCGTCCACTCCCGCTCCACTTCTCGGACGCGGGCGTAATCGCAAGCAGACTGAGCTGCAGCATCTGAACAATGAAATTCAGCTTCTCCAGGTGAGCTTGTCATGAAGTCTCTTAACTTTTACCTGTTGCTAAACATCATCAAATGTAGTGTCATGTCTTTCGAGTTATTTTTATGTAACTGATTCGAAATGAAGAACTGGCTCAATATGCGAATGTGACATGCAAAAATATTCGTCGTTATATTACGTAATGAGATAACATCTTCCTTTACAGGAGGAGTTGGAGGTTTTGAACAACACACCTCTCGCGTCGAAGGCCTGCAAAGAGTGAGTGTACACATTTTCCTTCCTATTTGATATGCAACTACATCCTCCTGTGAATGCGTATGGTCATGTCCATTTTACCTTGTTTATCGCTTTTTGTTTGGGATAAATCTTCAAGTTAGAAAGTGGAACTGAAACAGAGAGTTGTTTTGCATCAGTTACTCTGTCACACTGCGTTTGTTGTTTACTAGGGTATAGTAGAATAGGTACCTGAAATCGTCAGAATACCATGGCTAGGTTTATCCTTAAAGATCATACGTAGAATTATTCCATAATCATGCAACTGGAACTGACGTTGGGACCCATGATATAATATCCGTTGGTGTGTTATGTGATTACGGCAGTCTGATTACCTTCGTTGAAAATCTTCCTGATCCGTTTCTCTCGAGGTGAACAAAGCTCCTTGCTACTGTATGAATCATTTTTGTGCATTTTGAGTTCTCTGAAAAATGTATGCTTACATGAGCTCACTTGCAAGTAGTGATACGTGTGGCGCACAAATACCTTAGACTTTAAAAGTCTGAGGGGAATGATGGGAATTATTTTTGCAGCTCCGACGGAGTGGGACATCAGCCGTGGCCATATGATCGGCCTTCGAAATCCCGTCGCCATTGGTGGAAGTTCTAGACAGTAAATAAAGTAACGCCTGCTTTCTCCCTATCTGTAATACAATGAGCCTTTCAAATGAAGTATTCATCTGAAGAAGTCTAGTTTGTAATTTTGGTGGCATTCACAGAGAATCAAGTCCTTTCTGGGATGCAAGGATGAGATCATCCTGCTTGAACAGCTGCTCAGTGCAAGCCTGTAAAGTTGTGCCACAGTCAGTGGTTTTCAATGACGCATTGTGCAATATAGAATTGTAGAGCTACTACCATCTCTATGTAATTTCTGCCTCACGAGCGCAGGTGTGTTGAATGCGTAATGTGTGTTTAGAACAACCTCTAATCGTCCCGTTAGTTCTGGATGGCTTATAGGTTTTTGTAGAAATGGGAGTTGATAGTTCGCAGTTGACATAGGTTTAGCACCGTAGCACAACCATTACTATTTGAAGGGAGAGTCCACACATGTTCAGGGTTTCAAGAAACGAAGCTTTAAAAATTATCCAAACGATCAAGTGGACAACGTTCAACTCCCGGATGAACACACAAACATTTCCTCTATGGAACACATGCACAAGTATTCAGAGAACCAGATACTACGATTTTCGAACACATGCACAAGTATTCAGAGAACCAGATACTACGATTTTCGAACAAAAGAGGATACTTCTTCACATTACTCCTATTGTGTTGAACCATCTTGAGCAACTAGATAACGGGTTGTAGTTAATTCTGCGTACTTCATGTATTGACTCGAGAATATGAGTTTTAGTTAATTCTGCGTACTTCATGTATTGACTCGAGAATATGAGTTTTCCGTGAGGCGGTAGTAGAGGTCCATGCATTGCGAAATGATGTACTCAATGAAGAGCTGCACACAAACCAACCGAAATAAATAAATAAAAACTGTCAAAGACATCTTATGACAAGAAACTTTGAGGTAGTTAGAGACATGAAACAAACGTAGGACTCGGGAAAAAAGGATGCAAGCTTCGCCGATTCTTTATGTCATAGGAGCACGGAAATTAGAGAATAGGGCAACGTGCAAAGGACAGCTTGCGACAGGCAATTGTGGTCAGCTCTCAGAAATCACTGATTGCCAGAGGTAAGCTACGATTGCACTGCACAACTTCTTCCACCACCACTAAGCTGCATAAGGGGCGCTTGGCATACTAGGAAATACCTGGATCTTTGATGGAAGGGTGCGCCAAGTGTCCAGATTCGGAATTGCCTGCACAGCCGGCCAACGTACATCAACTTTGAGGTACATTGGTAATAAGATGCTTTAAAATTATCAATGTACATGGTGATACACATTGGTAACTAACATACTTTTAGTTTATGAATAGGTTATCCCTTTTATCGTACAAAAGTCACTTTAATCAGATTTAGATGTACGGTAACAGCAAACCTGATCAAAATAAGCAATTTTATGCAATGCAAACAGACGACAATCTTCTAGGAACTTACCTCAAATCCACTCACACCGAGAACAGTTACACGGTAACCAATGCCTACAGCCATGTACACGACAAAGGCAAGTAACAACCTGCACACGCACTAGATGAGATAATCTCTTCTCCCAGACTACAAACTAGAAATGATAATACCGTCTCCATCCCTCTGTAAACGTTCGATTTTTGGCCTTGAAGATCTATGGATTGATAATAGTCGCCTAAAATGTTAGAAATAGTTTTACAAATACTTGTCCGTCCATTTGTGTAGGGCTAAGATTCGTGGCAATTCACAGGTTTGAAGGACCTTCAGCTATCCATGACTTTCAAAAGCACCAAGCCCAAAGAAAATCAAGACACCCAGATATGGCCAACATACTGATGAAAGAAAATATGCAGCCTTCTTTTTAAAATACTGCACAAACTTATTCGCACAATCTCGCAACTTGCTGAAGCACCACGAAAATCTAGGTTCAAGTGCAACCAACAGCTATTTGGTAATATCAGAATGCTCAGATATTTGAAATGGAGATGAAGCACTTACATGAAAAACAAGGAACCAAACCAGCCCCATCCACCTTTACTCACATTCGTCACCACGGGGCAACCTGCTGGATGTTTTAATATGGTCTCCTGTTCACCAACATAGGATATCTAATCGTTAATGGTATGGTTCAGAGTAGCCTGATCAAGCCACATTTGCATCACTGACTTTGAATGCTACAGATGCGCAACCGATGACACCGCTACAATCAAAGAAATTTGGAAGTGAATTTATGTAACAATCAAGCAACAAAATAAAACGTCAAAATATTTAAAGATCCTAATACGCATAGTAATCCAAAATCATATCACAGAATCAACCGGAAAAAGCCTAATGCAAACATACAATTAACCAAATTAGCAAACATTGCCACCATAATCTAGTTTGTCAAACTGAACATAGGTCTTCCTTAAAATTTATACAAGTATGGACGTCCCGACACGCCACAACAACGAAATTTGACATTAAGGGCTATGACCACAAAGAACATGACTAGGTGGATGACATGGGAGTCCACTTTAACCAATGATAAGCCTGAAGTTTTATTACAATGTGAGCAGTCCGGTCAGAGACTTACATAATCACAAACCCCTGATGTAATATTCGTTACTTTAGTGGGTACCTGCACAAGCATTCGCATGCAAAATTTAGATGATATGGCATGCTCAAGTCTTCCAGCTCCCGTGTTCAGAACTTCTCTTGCGCATAGCAGATACTCGCAATTGGTTCACATACGTTCACCGTTCAGTTCTGAAGAAAATACGTTCACATACAGTTCTGAAGAAAAAACGATGCCTTGTGTGTGTGTGTGCGCGCGCGCGTGTGCACATTCATAAAAACTTGTGTGAGTTAGTTATGACTAGATTATACACGAATCATAGTTGTGATCTCCTTTGCATTCACTACTCGTGCTGTAAACATTAGAAAAATGAGCACCCACAACCAGCTCATGAACAGCCTTCCAGTCTAATCGACCCAAAAAACATTAGAGTAATTGCTATTTGACAATCACATCATACCTCAATACCAGAACGACTGCAGTACACCAACACTGAGAACGAGCAATCTGGCTTTGCATTCTTGTTGCATGTGGTCATTTTCACTCGAACACCTTGGTCCGGCTTGTTCTGATCTGAAGCGAAACATAACGAGCAAAAATGAAGCCTCTCAATATCCTACTTTAACATCGGAAGCTTTGAATAAGAACTTCAATTTAATTCAAGTTCAAATGATATTAATAACTCATGATTGATTGCCAGTTTCCGATTGTGCCAGACCAACAATAGGTTAAATTTATACCAGGGGTAGCATGGTTTATGTGCAGTTGCAAAACATAAAATAAAACATGACCATAACTTCAATTATAGAAAGAAATAGCATTCAACGGGTCAAATATAGATACACTGAAATGAGAGGTAGTGATGAAATCGTACTTATCAAGGAGTATTGAATGCTTCCAGGGTACCCAAGAGTGGAACATACGGAATAACCTGAGAAAACCATGAGTTCCAGGTGACCATGTGATAGAAGGCCCGATGCATAACAAGGAAGAAAGTCGTTAAGATGTATCAAAAAAAAGAAAAAAAAAGAAAAAAAAAGAAACAATTACAAGGAGTACACACTTCTGAGCAATCATTCAGTGAAAGTTTAAAACCCGATGGTGCCTGTAGATATTTAGACATCAGCTGCCAGCATCCACATTCATATTGGACTCTGCAACCCATATATGGGCGCTTAAACTGAACATTCAGTATGTTCAACCTACAATCGAAGTAATTTCATGCATTCAAAAATTCTAAAATCAATCACACAGCTTAGAAACATGTTGAATTTAAGAACATAATTAGACCAAAATTCCCATAACAAACCTGGAAAAGAGGAGGACATGAGCGCACTGCAGGTTTCACCACAGTGTCCTGGACCACCACAAGTCTGACCAAACCACTCAAAATCTTAATCTCCATATTACATAGATAGTATGATAGAAAAGGGCATCAGTACCGAAACAGTATAGAGAAAATAAAGGCAGAGACAAACATACAAACTTTCCGTCCATAGTACAGACTGGTACCTAAAGTCAATGCCACCACTTCTACTTAGGAAACAAAACATGAATCGAAAACAAGGTCGCATCAATAACATAAATCTGGTATAGAGGTTGAATTGGTACCTCACAATTCTCGCACAGAGGTGGATTAAAGTTGAACTTCATATGCTCACATAACTGATCATAAACAATGAACAAAACTCCGCGTAAAGAAATTACTGAGAGAGCTGACCTCTTTGAAACTGAAAACCCTATTAGAACCCAGGTAACCATTTGAAAAACAGTGCAGGTAGGCAACAAACTAAACAAGAAGCAGAGGGAAGTCGTAGTCTCAATTCGGGTGTATCCATGCGTATTGCCCATCAGCCATTAGTAATAGTTATTGCCCATAACAATCTAATCCATGTTTTCAGAATGATGGCTCCGCATGAAACGCACCTGAAACCAGTAAATCGTAGTCTTCCCCTCATTCGATTTTACACTAACCTTGTAAAACCTTTATTCAAACGAAAAATTAGCACAACCTTGAAAAGCCAGATTTGGACCTAGCAGGAACTGAGTAAAGCTTGTGACATAGAGCAACGTTTGCATGAAAAATGCATGGCATCATTGCTTTTTACGGATTGGTCTTGGGGCCAAGCAGTAGTACCCGTCTTCGCTCAAAATTCCATGAGGGTATCCTTTGATTGGAGTAGCGAGATTGAAGCTGTACTTCTTCCCATTTGTAATTGCTTCCCATTCACAAGCATCCGAATTCTCAGAATTCGAACATGTCTGCGCAATTCCAATCCTTACAAGAGCCAGGAGAGAAACAACAAACGCTGCTAGCCACCCCATCTCCAGAATCCGAATGCCACAACCAAAACAATTTAAACAATTATTCTCCCACGACAAGCTCTACCATTTCACACATGCCCACAAATCCAGCCCCTTCTTGCCCTATTTCAGCTCCGCCTCCACAATCTATAATCCCCCCGAGCCTTTCTTAAGCTCGTTGCAGAACCCAAGTTGGACCAAAAACCCTAAACTCCAGAGCTCCACCACTTCCGTAAACATCCTGCCGAACAATCATGAATACAATCACCTCTCCCGGTCTCTCCACACTTTGAACTCACTAAACCTTCGAAACCCTTCAAACCTCTTCCCTCTAGCGGCTTCTGGATTCTGCACTGAATCGACCCAACTCCGGACTCCCTGCACAATCTAAGATAGCAGCAACGACGACGACGACAGTGAGGACAACGCTTGTGATTGTAAGTTGAAGTCTTGCATGCTCACAATCACGCAGCTACTTACTGGCTCATTAAATGCAAAGTTTCAAAGATCCATGTCCAATGATCTGCCTTCCACTTGCATGAAGTAGTGACAGCTCTTGAGAGCTACAGGGTTGCGAGCCTGAATCTAGCTTCAAGAAGACACGCATACCGTATTTAGTTAAGGTTCATCGGGCCCTGCCCAGTGCGTGTGCTTCAAAACGGTCATAGATACTCTAAGCTTACGACCGTGTTTCGGACCTTGTGGATTGGCAATGATTCTCCCACTTCTCTTCATATTTTCTGTGCTGTACTGTCATGCCTCTGCTTGAAGCGGAATTTCACGTAATGAGGTGTCGTGCATGTGAAAAATTGGTTCGTGGGTTCACCTTGAGGATGTTGAGGAGCCCACGAAAACTAGTGTGAATATGTTGGTCAATGCAAAGGTTTTAAATATCAAAGGTTTTGATGAATGAAGAAAATGTGAACAGGGTATGTCGGTGAGATTCTTGCGACTCGTGATGGTGCTGAGCAGTTTAGAAATAGAACGACAGCTTATGAACTCGGAGGTTGAAGCTAAGGAAAGAGAGTGACACTGTTGATGAGCAAAGTAAGAGCGCCTTGGAACAAATCGCTGGCGTAGCGTACTTCCTAGACACTCGACTTCGACCTTCGCACGCATTGGTCCACTAGCATGAATGCTGAAGAGTGGATTTCTCTCTAGATACAGGTGAGTTGATCGGTTTTTAAAGTTTCTTACGATTCGTCTCGAGAGATTGAAATGAATAGGTTGGTGTGTCGAATCAGTATTTGGGCTTTTTTTGACGAGTGTTGAATCGTCGGCCTGCTTTTATCAAATTCGTCGACAAATCAGAGCCTTCACTATCCTCTAACCAGCAACCTCTTGCATTGAATCAGAAGGAGCTTAATGACATTTCATGTCATACTTTAGTTCACGTTAGGCCCCAACTTGGTGGAGACATATAGACTTCTATGTATCACAGACAGAGATGTAAGCCTTGAGTAGCTAATTCATGACGCTGTATACACGGTATACCATGCAAAGGATGGTTCTCGAAGTAAACTATTCACATTGTTCGCTAATGTCGCATTGGTAGCTGTCACTATTTTCCGTGTGCAGCTTAATCAGTATCACGCACAAAGAGTTCATTTACAGAATCTTTTGGTACTTGCCTTGACAGAATTCAATGCTTAACGTTTCGTCATAGCATAATGGCAATTCCTTTAGGATACATAGTGCTAGAAATGACGCCTTTCTTTAAGAATTATTTTTTGCAATTTGTTAAAGCATGGCCAACTGATTGGGATTGTTCTTGCAGAAAAGTTGCCAATCATCTCTTATGCAAATCCACGATTAATCAGTTCTGTAGTAGGAGATTTCTATTATGCAAATCCACGATTAATCAGTTCTGTAGTAGGAGATTTCTATTAGCCTTCAAAATAAGATAACTTAGGAGCTTTGTATCAGTGTATCATTGTAGGAAGACCCATCTGTTAATGAGAATATGGAGGAATTTCTGTTATGTTCCAGATTACTAAGCACAACCAAGAATTAGTTCTTAAGTTCCAGACATGTGTAGGTTTAAAAAATCCACCCAGATATTTATATTTAGGATACCACGAGACTGTTTTCTATTTCAAAATTATGCTTGCAACAACAGCTTAAAGTGGGCCTGAAGTGGTGGGAGCATTAAATGTAGCCAGCGCTCTCCATAATATTTATTGTATTCTATAGTAAATACCATAGCTATACTATTTGGAATGTAGTAGAGAAGAATTGTTTATCCTCTCCTCTTGTATACGAGACACAACCAAATCAATAGATTTTTGTGTAAAGCTCTCTCTCTCTTTAGAAACTCTCTTGTGTGTGTATATTACTTACTACTATTCTTGTAACTTTCTAAACATTCTCAACACGTTATCAGCACTACTCTCTTCTACACACTATCGCAATTTTTTTTTTTTTTACTTTGGTCTTGACTCTTCAAATCTATTGCTATTCTTGCTCCCTATGTGACTCATGATCTTACTGCACTTCTTGCTGGCCCTTCATACATTAGTTGCTTGCTAAGAATACTTGCTCCACTCTATGCCTTGCTTGCTTAGAATACTTGCTCCAGCCTTGCCTCCTTGCTGTGCCTCACGCTTGCCGCTGAACAGAACCCATTGCTTACTACCAATCTTGTCATTGATATTGCCTTGCCACTGCTGCCCTATTGCTCAACTGCCACAATCTACAACCTTGTTAAAATAATAATAATAACAATAATAATAAATTAATATTTTGATTTCAAGTTCAATTTTATCATTTTATTTGACTTTATATTTTAAGGTATATTTTACTCAACTTTTCTACTTGATCTTGTATTTTCTTTACATATTTATTTATAATGAGTGCTTCAACATCGTCAACTACTTCTATTATAGTTCCAACTATTACCAATGCATCCCAACATTTTCAAGCTCTTTTATTTCCACCATTGACTATGGATGGAAATAATTATCTATTGTAGACAAAAATGGCAAAAACAAATTTATTTGCAAAATAATTTTTGGATGCCATTATGTTTGAAGAATCTCCTACAATAAGTATTTCTATCCTTCTTGCTATCCATTGAAAAGCACTTCTTTTCCTTCGTCATCATCTTATACCTGCATTACAACGTCAATATTTGGAAATAGAAGATCCTACAAAACTTTGAAAGAATCTTAAATCCACGTTTCATCATTAAAAAACCATTTTCCTTCCACATATATGTCATAATTGAACACATTTATATGTCTTGGATTTTCTAAATTAAAATGCTTTCAATAGTGAAATGTATAGTTTTGTCTCACAATTACGATTATGTGGACAAAGCATCTCCAAAGAAATAATGATTGAGAAAACTCTCTCTACATTTCTTCTTGTATCTATTGTACTTGCACAACAATATAAGAACATGAAATTTCAGAGTCATTTTGATCTCATATCCTATCTACTTCTTGTGGAGAAGCAAAATGAGCTACTCTTGTGCAATGCAGAAGCTTGTCCTATTGGAACCATAGTTCCAAAATCTCATGCACTTAATATTTCAAAGTCTAAGAAAAAATTATATAAACATGGGAAACGAGTTCATAAGCATTAGAGTAGTCATTGTGATGACCATTTCTACCCATATAGAAAGAATAAACATTCTACTATTAATTGTAATAGAAAACAAAAATTAGAGATGTGTTTTTGCCATAAATGTGGAATGATTGGACATTTAGTACATGCGTGTTGTATTTCAAAATATTTTATTAAAATATTCCAAGAAAATAAGAAACTACAAGATGATACTTGTGAAGTTCATACTATGGATGTGTCTATGGATTCAATTGGTGTTGATGATTTACAGGCTTATATGAATGACAAAACCTCTAATGATAAATCAAATAATGCGTTCATTGATTCTGCAACATCACATACTATCTTATGAAACAGATAATTTTTTAATAAAAAATCTTCAACTTGGCAAACTAAAAATATGATGACTATTGCTGAAGCAAATACATTTTGTTTCCAAGAAGGAACAACGATGATAAAATTACTTGCAAGTTCCATCATAAAATGAAAACATGCGATGTTTGCACCCTCAGCACCTTGGAGTCTGATTAGCTATTGAGATGTGCATATCAATGGTTATCACCTCTCGACTGCCATTTTAAATAGAAAAGAGATTTTGGTTCTTGCAAAGAACCATAAAGTTGTTGAAAAGGCTTTTGCTACAAAAAATGGTTTACACCAAATTGTAATTTGGCCTCCCATTATATTTAATTTTGCATCATCTATTATAGAGAGTCTTGCTTTTCTCTGGTATGGAAGATTAGGACATCCAAGATCTACATTATTTAGAAAGATTATTCGATGTATAACTGGACACAATTTAAAGCCTGCAGTTCTACACTCTATGGAATTATGTCGTGCATGCATATAAGGTAAGATGATTATTCAGCCTTCAATTTGGAAAATCCCACAAGAATTACGACCAATGCTTGAAAGATTGTATGGTAATATTTGTGGTACTATTAATCTAATATCATGACTATTTTGTTATTTTTTGGTCTTTGTTGATGCATCAGATAAACAATCACATGTTTCATTATTATCAACTTAAAATATGGTATTTGTCAATCTTATATCTATGCTTATTCATTTTCAAGCACATTTTCTTGATTATCCTATAAAAACATTGTGTATGGATAATGCAAAAGAATTTGCATCAAAGCCTTTTTAAGACTATTGTACTGCAAGAGGAATTGAGTTGACATATTGTGTTCCATATGAACATGCTCAAAATGGACTTACAGAGTCATTTATAAAGTATATACAACTCATTATCCAACCACTCCTCCTTCACATAAATTTACTTGCATCTATGTAGAGTCATTCAATTTTACATGCTATAGTATTAATACACCTCTCCCATTCTTCACTTGGAATTATTTCACCACATGAGCTCATTTTGGGTTGTATTCTAAATGTATCTCACTTACGAATATTTGGTTATTGTGCTTGGATTCCAATACCAGAACATCAATGGCATACCATTGGAACTCATCAACAAGAAGGCATATATATTGGTTTTGATTCACCAAGCATTATTCGTATTGTTGATCCATCAACTAACACATTATTACGTGCACGTTTACAAAATTGTTGTTTTGAAGAGAATGTATTCCCATCTCTTCAAGGAAGAGTATCTAATCAACAAAGAAATAAATTACTTGTATTTGAAGCACCAAAAATGTTTACAATGAATCTCGATCTTAGGACATCTTTGCCTGAAATTGAAATTGCTAAGATTTTGTATCTAAAACGAATCATAGATAAAATACTTGATGGCTTCAATGATGTACCTAGAATTAAAAGAGTTCCTATTAATGAGGCTCAGAATGCACCTGCTCAGATTGTAGTCCTATTGACTACAATACCTCAAGTTATAACAACAACAACTAAAAGAACTCGTAGACTAGATAAGCAATTACGTAAGAAGAAAGCTATAATATTGACTAATTCTCGTATTATTTCTCAAGAAATTTCCACTCATTCTAGAGAACCACCAATTCATGATGATATATCTATGCATAATGTACCTTCAATTCCTATGAAAAACAATCTTGGAATTGGAAGGGATAAGAACAAGTTG